ATCAGCTGCCTCCTGCACATCTCCCACTGGGGATATGCCCGCAACCCAGGTACATGCCCTTGACCGGAATCGAACCTGGGACCCTTCAGTCCGCAGGCCGACGCTCTATCCACTGAGCCAAACCGGTTTCAGCAAGAATATTCTTTTCTTCCAACACTACTTGACAAAAATCCCACCCATATTTCAAGTCCCAGCTCTTTTACATGAGGCATTCTTTCTCTGTGTTTCCACCATTCTCTGGGCCTCTCCTGGGCAAGAGACACTCACTTAATTTTACTCTATGTAATTCTATATAATAAAAGCCTAATATGTAAATTGACCGAACAGTGGAACGACCAGTCACTATAACACACACTGACCACCAGGGGGCAGACACTCAATGCAGGAGCTGCCCCCAACCTGCAGGCTGGCCAAGGTGGGTGCCAGTGGGGACCCCCCCCCAATTGCCCCACCAGTCACCCCACAGATCGGCCCTGATTGCCGGCCAGGCCTAGGGATCCTACCCATGCATGAATTTCGTGCACTGAGCCTCTAGTTAGATACATAAGGGAAGACAGCCTCTTCTCCACAACTTCTGTTTCCTTCTGTGTGGAATGGAGTTTAGCCAGCATTAATAAAGAGGCCCTTTGCTATCCCTGGACTCACTTTCCCTGTGGCAGTGAGCTCTCTCTCTGACTGGTAATTTGGAGAGGCCCTGCTCAGATCCCTCATATTCCCTCTGGGGGGTGAGCTGCCTGCAGAGAGCAGCGGTCCTCGGCCCTCTCCTCAGGGCACACCAGCTCCCAGGGGAAGCCTGATGCCACTGGTGTGAAGTGCCTGGTTCTGGGTTTGATCAGTACGTCTGCTGGCTCTCACAACAAGCTCCATACTTCAACCGAGCACTTAATCAGTAATAAGGACTGACTGCTGTTTGATTTCTCACTTTTCAGAACATGGAGGTAAAAGGGAAGAATAATGTCATTTGTAACATTTCAGATCTCTCAAGATGTCCATGTCTCTCCTGTGTGAACCATACACACCCACCTGCACAGGATCTAAACACTTTGAACTGAGGGTTGGTTCACAGAACCTAACCTCATTGGCACCAAATTCTAATGAAATGAACTAGTAAGAGCAATAAATACTTGGTGACTAGAAATGAAGTTAATGAAGAAAATGTATTTGGTGTGAATTTTATAGCACTCAAACATTCATGCTGCACGTTCACTTACGCATTTCAAAACTGTGATAAGTTGAGATGATGTATACTTAATTATAAATACTTGCTAAGTTAACACCCTTTTAAAAATAAAACTGTTTTCTCGTGGCAGACAAAGAGCCTGTTCCGAATCAGTCGGAGGCTTTCAGAAAAACCCTGAAAGATCTAATTTTGTAAAAGGTCCTGTCACAAGGGAACAATGTCACCCCAGCAGCGTACTTATCTCAACCGGCTCCATGGGCTCACTGTAGTCACAAAGCACTTAGATTACATTACACACCTATAGAATGTGGGTGGATTTCAAGGAATAAAATAAAAGCAAAATAACTATAGGCTTTTCCACTGGAAGAAAAAAAGAAAGCAAATCTGCTCACCTGAAAACACATCGAGTCTTGCAGCCCCGGCATCTCTGGAAACAATATAAAATTGTCATTGCTGCAGTGTGAAATTGTTTTAAAAAATTACCTGATCAGAGCTCAAGGAGTTCCCCACCTGTGGGGGGCTGGCCTGGTAGTTGCTGGCCCCCTGCTGGTCGTGAGAGAAACAGCCAGCGGGGCAGAGGGGTTTGGGGTATCCCAGGCCCATGCCCACGCACCAACCCTCCAAGTGCCAACTCCCCACCTTCTGTCTTTGGTGCCCCATCCCAGGTTGCAAAAAAGGCCGCCCTGGCCTCTGCTCCTCTCCTCCTGGGTGCCTCCCGCTGCTCTAGATGGGGTTTTCCCCCAGATTGCCTAGGGCTGCCTTCACAAACAATGGCAGAGGTAAGTAGTTTCAACAGAGAATACAGGGCACACAAAGGTAAAAACACTTCCTATCTGGCCTTCTACTGAGAAATATGCTGAGCCCCACCTTTATGTGATAAGATTGCTGGATGCGTTTTTCTTTTCTTTTTTCTTACTTTTCTACAATTCGCAGATATTATTTGTGTGTTTTTTAAATAAAAACTTAAAAAGTGAAGGAGAAAAGGCCAGAAGATCCTAGCTTCAATATCAAGGGTGTGAGAGAAAGGAGAAAGATAATGAGGAGTAAGGTCTGAGATGCAGAGGAGGGAATGTTGAGGGAATGAAGGCTCTAAAAGGAAGCTCGGAATAATAAAAACAACCAGATTCTGATGGGAAAATCTGAGTCTCTTCCCAAATTTTCATCAATCCCAACTCAAAACTATCCCGTAGGAATCTGAATATGTGCACTGTACTTGTTCTACATGCCTAGTTTCAAAGTTAGCCCCTTAGCGCCTTCCTCTAACCAAATTGCTTCTTCTAAGCTCCTCCTATATAGAAATTCTCCTATATAGAAACTCCTATATAGAAACACTGCCATTTCTTCAGCATTTTCTGTGTATCAGGTTAAGTACTGAATGAAGTATTTCTGAACTATTTTTATTTTTACTATTAGGAGGATTCACTTCTAATTTTTGCCACAATCGCATGGAATGTAGGTATCATTATTTCCATTATGTAATTATACATCATTCAAAGTACCATGTACACAATAGGTGCTCAATAACTGCCCCTCTACTGAAAGTTTTCAAAGAAACTGTTTCCTCACAGAAATTCTAGGCGTATAAAGGCACAGAACAATAATTCACCTTTATAACACATTAAGTCATTTTATAATAGACTGTAATTTAGCCCAGGTCAATTTCTCTCCGAACAGCTCTTGTATTTGGCCTCTGCCTCCTAACCACGCCTTCCTGTACTGCCACATATTTTCCTTATCCATTTACAGCATTCCTTTAATATCTTCCAGTTCTAAATTTGAAACTATAGACAATCATCAAAATCTTGAGTAAAATAATTTTTTAGAATAACACGGGACTATATGAAGATCTTCCTTATGAGACCAACCAAGCATTTTGCCTAAGTCTATTAAGCAGCTCCATTTGATGTCCAATACTAGCATCTAAGCAGCGGTGGCAAAGCCAAGTGCTCACTGAGGACAGAGGAACTGGGGAAGTGGGGCTGGCTGTAGGGCCTTTAGGAATGGCAAAGCTGAAGGCACAGGCTGGTCCAAAGAGATTTTTTATATGGTACCTCCTATTTCTTAAACTTTACAAACAATTCCTTCTTTTCTTCCTTTTCTTTATAAACACTGTGTGCGTTTTCACTATAAATCAAACAAACATGAGACAGGCCAGACTTGGTCAGGGGCTGCCAGTTTACAAATGCTGCTCTAAGAAGTGCTTTATTGATCACATTTCTCTCACTCCCCTGCATCTGAACTCCGTCTTTCTTTGCCAATCACCCTGTGCTGCATAAACTGCTCCTGTTGTTCTACTTCTTCTACATTCTGATTTTACCTGCCCTCCACTGTTGAATGAATGAGTGAAACAACTTCAGAGGAGAAGACAGTTGGTAAAATAGACCAGCGTGTTCTCTGAGAGTAACAAACGTCTTCTTTCAGAGTTACAGAGAGCAAGCTGCTGAAAACAGACACTCAGTGGGACACCAAAGGATCCCTGCTTCAGAGCTGTGGGCAGAAGCAAACAGTAGCAACCCTGAAACCCTATAGAGCAGCGGTTCTCAACCTGGGGGTCGCGACCCCTTGGGGGGTCGAAAGACCCTTTCACAGGGGTCGCCTAAGACCATTTGTTTTATATAATTACATACTGTTTTTGTGATTAATCACATTAGAGAGACTAACCACGAATGTTCCTGAGTCTTGGTGCCATCCCTGTTTGCTCCTTCTAAGTTGAGTTCAGGGCTCTCCTAACCAATCAACTTTATTATTTTTCTCCTCTCCCCTCCCTTTCTGTGATAACTGTTGGTGTAAGAAGGAGTTAGTGACTTTTTCCTTAGTACAGGGCACTGCTGTGCAGAAAGCTCTGGATGGCTAGTGAAGTGACTACATCCTGCATTTACACCCAGTCATCTCCCTTCTTAGGCCAAAAATGGGGGACAAATGCAAAAAAGTTGAAATTCATTTGTCAACCCCTGGCAGGGAATTTAGGTCTCTCTACTGAGATCCCTGATCTAATAACTTCCTACTACTTCCTGGGGTAGACTGCTTTCTGTAGAAAAGATAGGTAAAAATCTTCCATTACAAGAAAATACAGATACAAAACAAATGCAGTGCCATATTTGATTAGCTGAAAAACACTCACTCACAAGCCCCCACAAATACACTTAAGTGGCACTTAAACTGTTCATGAGAGTTCTTTAAACACCAGTGCCTTTGTCAGAGACAGTAAAATGGGGTAGGGGAGTTCTAAACAGACTAGACAGACTAAATTTGAATTCTAGTTCTGCCAATATCAATTGTATGACCCTGATTCATTCATTTAACCTCTCTATGCATCAACTTCCACATCTGTAGAATTGAAATAAGTATAGGCACCTCAGAGTGCTGTTGTAAAGATGAATGAGCTAATACCCATCTATAAGATGCTTAGAACAGGGTCTTATGATAGAAGGAGATCAACAACAGCTAGCTATTTTCTCCTTAACTTTGCAATTCGATTTGATGCAGACTTCAATAAATGCCCAAACTTAAATCTAAATTCTCAAGACACAGTATATGTTGATATGCAGTAAAACTCAAAAACATCCAAATGACTCTCTGCTGTTACATGCTTATTAACACAGAAACAGACACTCACTTTATCTGCACTTCAAGTGTGATCATAGATACAAACTAATTCCTCCTCTTACCTGTTCTTTTCCCTCTAATATTTTTAATAGCAATTAAATTCACAGAACATTGCAGGTGGGGGGAAATGACATTATAATTTCATCTTTAAGTACAGCAAGACTGGAATTGTGTGAGATGCCCCCCACAATCCTTGTTCACTGGTGAGCCTTACCTTGCATTGTCCAGCAATTCAGCCAGGGCTCCAAACAGGAAACTGTGCGTAGTGCTGGTGAAGAAATAGAGGGAAAGCCCAAAGTTTAACTCTGGAATCAGTGCAAACGGTTTCAGAAAGTTGCAGACAAGTATTCTCCAGGTCGAGACAGATAATCCAGTAAGGAGTTACTCTAGAAACAACTTTCTCAGCACCATCAAGATTCTGAAGTTGATGCACTTTATTACAAAGCCAGCAGGGCTAAGAACACGATGGCCGAAATAGCCTGTCTACTCCTAATGAAACAAAGACTTCACAGGCCTTCCTGTACTTAGAGCAAATTGTTTTGTAAGCATTTGTTCAAGTTTATTTTGTTGCTGTTGTTGTTGTTTTGTTTGTTTGTTTTTTAGGTTCACACTGACAGCTTTCAGAAAAACAGACCATTTCGGGGGAACAAGAACAGGAAACAAGGAACCCAGTTTAGAGGCTATGTGGAGGAGTCCGGAAGGGAGATGGCAGTGGTTTGGACTAGTCAGTGGTAGTGGAGATGGAGTGGAACGGATGAATTTGAGTCTTTGAGTCCTCGTTAGAGGCAGCCTGAAGGGGACTTGATGATGGATTGGATGGCGGATTGGACAGGAGAGGTGAAGCAAGGGAGAAATACAAAAATCACTCCTGTGTATACTGTGGGAATCTCCAACAAAAACGACCTGGGGGAGTGGAGAAGATACCAATTTGTATCTGATTTTGTTTCTGCTTGTGCTGCTGTCAGTTTTGTTATTCAGTTTCCAGACTAGTAACTGACTATGGGGTGATTTGGGGGAGGAGAGGTCTGGGAAGGATATCTGCAGAAGCTATGCAAAACTGAGGCTGAGGAAACTTCCCCAGGTTAAATTCACAGTCCTTCCAACACGGGGCTTACAATTGTTCTAAATCGCCAACTCAAAACTGCTATTTCTTCATTTGTCTTCCACCTCTGTTAACTTTTAATTAACATCCCATCCCTTCCAGCTTGCAATTATTTTACATAATAAAGAAATAAAAACTAAATATCTGCTGAATAGTACCTGTTTTACTCATATTTTCTGTAAAAATTGCTCTGTCCCATACAGCAAGGCTGGCTAACCCTGGTTTTCTTTACACCTTTTCTGTGGTTTCAAATCTGGTGCATCCCTTGTATCAGTGATTTTCAACTGGTGTGCCACAAGAGTTTTTAAAACATGCAATACCTGACTGTTCAGTCAGGGGCACTGACCTCTTTTTCTTTAGATTGTCAAATTTAAAAATGACAACAGCCAACACAACAATAGCTGGCCAGTGTGAGTGCATCAAAATGATACCTACTTTTTTTGGTCAGATCAGCAAAAAATAGAGAACATTTTTTGGTGTTCTGCAAAACGTTAGTAATGAGTTTACGTGTGCATGAGATGAAAAGGGTTGAAAATCGCTGGTTTATATCAATCAGTACTTTCAGAAAATCCAAATTACTAAAAGATCCCCCCAAACAACAACACTGTGAATTATGCGGCACTCACTCCCTGCTGTGCTTTGCTGTGTGGGAAATGACAGATGGAATAGGGAACCTGTCTTCTTCCTCTGCAACCTGAGCATCTGAAATAACACCTAGTCAGTAGCCAAACGCATCTGGGCCTGACGGAGAAGCCAGGGGGCCCTTGTGATAACCAAAATGTGAGGATTCTAACCTCAGAGAGGTCACGTTTTTGGAAATACTCTGGAGGCCGCAGACGCTGGAATCAATAAATACAAATTACTCTCCGGAGGCAACTTTAATCTTTAAAATGTCAGGATATTGGGCAGGGAAGTCACTAGAGATGGGCAACCTTGGTGGAATGAGGGTTCTCTGGCCTACAATTTTGTTAAAAGATAAATGTAGGGCCTTCCTGCCACCTGGCATTAGTGGGGAAAAAATAAAAAGGGTTTAGCCTGGCCCAGAATATCAGTTTACTTTGTTTTATTCTTTTTAAAGCATACCCTTCAAATAAATAGGTTTTTTCTTTTTAAAGCATCAATAACTTTGCTTTTTTCTTTTTAAAGCATAAACAATTGTATTGTTTATTTCTTTTTTTCTTTTTAAAGCATAAACAAAGAACTAAATAAAGAAATAATATTTCCATAAGTCAATGATACCCAGTTCACGTATTTCGCTAGGAGACGGGTCCAAACTTTTCACGGTGAGACCCTTCCCTCCACCCCCCCTCCCCCACCCCCCGCCCTCCGGGGTCACTCACGAGTTGGCGTGGATGAAATCCAGATGCAGCTGTGCCCGCCGCAGAGTAGCATACTTGTCGCCCATGTCCTCGAAGGCGACCCACGCGCCGCTCAAAAACACGAAGGTCGGGTCCTCCAGCTGTTCGCCCACGCCCACGCCCACGCCCACGCCCACGCCCGGAAATCGGCTCGGCGAACGCGCGCGCGCCCCCTGGTGGCCAGAGCGCGAAGCTCACTCTGCGCTGTTGGCTGGTGTCTGGCAAGATAAATCCTTGCTCAAAGGACAGCTTTGGGCCCTGGTTGGTGTGGCTCTTTGGTTAGAGGCCCACCGCACCAACGGGTAACCTGGTTCGATTCCGGTCACAGAGCGTTTACGTGGATCCTTCTCTCTCCCACCCCCGCCTCACCTTCCCCTTCCACTGTCTAAAAGTCAATGGGGAAAAAATATATGCTCAGGTGAGGCTTTAAAAAAAAAAAATGCCTTCTAGCAAAGCAGGCATCTGAGCTAGGCTCCTCTTCCTGACTTAGGATTTATGTTGTTCCTGTCATTTTCTAACATTTTCCCAGGGAAATGGAGCCCCAGGTTGGGATTAGAATTTGATCAGAAATAATTACATACACACATAAAGAATGTGACAAATCAAGGTTGGGGAGCAGGAAAAAACTCAGAGATGCAGAGAACAAATTGATGTTTGACGGTTGGGAGAGAAGTAGGGAGGATGGGTGAAAAAGAGGAAGGGGTTAAAAAGTACAAATTGGCAGTTTTAAAAGTAGGCACGAGGATGTATAATACAGCATAGGGAATATAGTCAATAACATTGTAATAACTACAGGGCAATGATGGTGAACCTATGACACGCGTGTCAGAGGTAACACGCGAACTCATTTTTTTGGTTGATTTTTCTTTGTTAAATGGCATTTAGATATATAAAATAGACTAGAGGCCCGGTGCACAAAAATTTGTGCACTCAGGGGAAAGGGGGGTCCCTCAGCCCAGCCTGTGCCCTCTCGCAGTCTGGGACCCCTCGGGAGATAATGACCTGCTGGCTTAGGCCTGCTCCCGGGTGGCAGAGGGCAGGCCCAATCCCTAGGTGCAGCCCCTGGTCGGGCTCAGAGCAGGGCCGACTGGGGAGTTGGGGCGCCGCCCCCTGTCATGCACAGAGCAGGGCCCATCAGGGGGTTGAGGAGCTCCCCCCTGTCACTCACAGAGTAGGGCCGATAGGGGAGTTGGGGCACCGCCCTCTGTCACACTCAGGGCAGGGCGGATCAGGGGGTTGGGGCGCCACCACTGTCACACTCAGGGCAGGGCAGATCGGAGGTTATGACTCTACCCCATCACACACAGAGCAGGGCCCGTGGGGGGGGGGGGGGGCGAGGCGCCCCCTGTCACACACAGAGCTGCAGGGCGATCAGGGGGTTTGGGTGCTGCCTCCTATCAGGCACAGAGCAGGGCGATCAGGGGGTTTGGGCGCTGCCCCGTCATGCTGATCCCAGTGCCGGGAGGCCTCGCGGCTCCGCTGATCCTGGTGCTGGGAGGCATATTACCCTTTTACTATATAGAATAGAGGCCTGGTGCATGGGTGGGGCTGGCTGGTTTGCCCTGAAGGGTGTCCCGGATCAGGGTGGGGGTCCTCACTGCGGTGCCTGGCCAGCCTGGCTGAGGGGCTGAGGGCTGTTTTCAGGCTGGGACTGAAGCTCCCAACCGCTCCTTTTTTTCTTTTTTTTTTCTTTTTTTATTCTGGGCCAGCTTTAGCTCTGAGGCCTCGGCTGCTGAAAACAGGTTTCTGGCCTTTGTTTACCGTCTGTATTTGATACAATGTTGCGGTCCCGCTGGCTGAAGCCCCGCTGAGTAAAGCAGGTTTCTGGAGTTTTTTTAGCTTCTATATTCGCAACATATTTGCTTAGAGTTGCAGCTGAAAGACTCTTTAGGAGAACCAAGATGGCGGCATAGGTTAACGCCGGAGTTTGCTGCTTTGAACAACTACTTCAAAAGTGAAACTAAAAGACAGAACAGACATCACCAAGAACCACAGGAACGCTGGCTGAGTGGAAGTCCTACAACTAGGAGGAAAGAGAAACGCATACGGACACTCAGAGCAGGCTCAGTACTGAAGTCAAATTCTGAGGTGCGGAGTGCGGGGAGCGGGCTGGCGGTGGAGGGCGCGGTTGGCGTTTTCAATCGGGAGGGAGTTGAAGACTCTGAGCTCCAGATACGGGCGAGTCTCTAGGGACCCAGATTCAAACGGGAGAAGCGGGACTGTCTGGCTTCTGTCAGAGCGAGAGCAGCTTTCTCTCCGAGCTTTGCAGCGGGTGCTGGGACTCAGAGAGGCAGAGCCCCTGGGGACAAGACTGAGAGTCGCCATAACTGCTCTCTCCGGCCCACCCTGTTGATCCTGTTCGACCCGCCCCGCCCAAGCCCTGCACAGAGGCATTTGCCGGATAGCCTCAGGCAAAGGCTAGATTAGCACCTCCCTAGAGGACAGAAGTTCTCTCACTGCTGACACAGCTGATTCTCATAGCCAATTGGCCTGGAGGTCAAACCCTCCCTGGTATTAGCTACAACAATCAAGGTTTAATTATAAGACTGCGAACAAAGACCACTAGGGGGTGCACCAAGGAAGCATAACAAAATGCGGAGACAAAGAAACAGGACAAAATTGTCAATGGAAGATATAGAGTTCAGAACCACACTTTTAAGGTCTCTCAAGAACTGTTTAGAAGCCGCTGATAAACTTAATGAGATCTACAAGAAAACTAATGAGACCCTCGATGTTATATTGGGGAACCAAGTAGAAATTAAGCATACACTGACTGAAATAAAGAATATTATACAGACTCCTGACAGCAGACCAGAGGAGCGCAAGAATCAAGTCAATGATTTGAAATGCGAGGAAGCAAAAAACACCCAACCGGAAAAGCAAAATGAAAAAAGACTCCAAAAATGCGAGGATAGTGTAAGGAGCTGCTGGGACAGCTTCAAGCGTACCAACATCAGAATTATAGGGGTGCCAGAAGATGAGAGAGAGCAAGATATTGGAAACCTATTTGAAGAAATAATGACAGAAAACTTCCCCCACCTGGTGAAAGAAATGGACTTACAGGTCCAAGAAGCGCGGAGAACCCCAAACAAAAGGAATCCAAAGAGGACCACATCAAGACACATCATAATTAAAATGCCAAGAGCAAAAGATAAAGAGAGACTCTTAAAAACAGCAAGAGAAAGAAACTCAGTTACCTACAAGGGAATACCCATACGACTGTCAGCTGATTTCTCAACAGAAACTTTGCAGGCCAGAAGGGAGTGGCAAGAAATATTCAAAGTGATGAATACCAAGAACCTACAACCAAGATTACTTTATCCAGCGAAGCTATCATTCAGAATTGAAGGTCAGATAAAGAGCTTCACAGATAAGGAAAAGCTAAAGGAGTTCATCACCACCAAACCAGGATTATATGAAATGCTGAAAGGTATCCTTTAAGAAGAGGAAGAGGAAGAAAAAGGTAAAGATACAAATTATGAACAACAAATATGCATCTATCAACAAGTGAATCTAAGAATCAAGTGAATAAATAATCTGATGAACAGAATGAACTGGTGATTATAATAGAATCAGGGACATAGAAAGGGAATGGACTGACTATTCTTGGGGGGGAAAGGGGTGTGGGAGATGCGGGAAGAGACTGGACAAAAATCGTGCACCTATGGATGAGGACAGTGGGTGGGGAGTGAGGGCGGAGGATGGGGCGGGAACTGGGAGGAGGGGAGTTATGGGGGGGAAAAAAGAGGAACAAATGTAATAATCTGAACAATAAAGATTTAATTAAAAAAAAAAAAAAGAGTTGCAGCTGAGAGGCCGGCAAGTCAGGCAGGGAAAGTTGGAGTCCTCCGTCACTGAAGCAAGCAAGCCTCCCTGTTTGCATCAGCTGCCTGGCTGCCGGCCGCCATCTTGGCTGCCAGTTAATTTGCATATCTGGGCCCTACTCTGTGAGTGACAGGGGGATTAGCCAATGGGAAGGGTAGCGGTCGTACGCCAATTACCATGTTTCTCTTTTATTAGTGTAGATATCAAAAATATAAGTCTTTGTTTTACTATGGTTTCAAATATCAAAAAATTTCTATATGTGACACGGCACCAGAGTTAAGTTAGGATTTTTCAAAATGCTGACAGGCTGAGCTCAAAAGTTTCGCCATCACTGCTATAGGGTGTCAGATGGGCACTAGATCACTTCATAAGTTGCATAAATGTCAAACCACTATACTGTACACTTGAAACTAATATAATATTGATGTCACCTATAATTGAAAAATAAAAACCATTTAAAAAGAATCTGTGTGGCGAGGTTGGGGAGTGTGGGGAAGGAAAAAGGTAGTTCCCCTGTACTTGCACAGTGTGTTACACAGCGCCAGATATAAAGGCCTTTTGTGTTCGAAGCCCCACACTTACCTTCCTGTGCCTCTTGGGTTGATCATGTTTTCTCCAGTTGAAGAAAAGAGAACATCCAGAGAGAGAAAGGAAGGAAGAAATAAAGTGAATCTGAACAAAATTTAAACTATGCCTTAATGTGGAGACTTGTGTTCTCTAAGAACCTTTTTCATTCAATTATTTGATGTACTACCCAGCTCAAGGAATAAACACTCCATATATTCCAAAAGAGAGAACTAGGCAAATGGAAGGTTGGGGATGGGGTTAAATATAAGGAAGGGCTTTGTACACCAGCTTTCCAAATGGTGCTACTCACAAAACACGGATTACCAACCAAGTCACCAAAACCCAGCTGAAACAGGATTTGTCAAACATGCTGTTGAGATGAGAAATTTGTTGACCTGGATGACCTCTCAATTAGGGTTAAATGACTTATAAACTAAGGTAGTTCAATAGAACTCAGCAGAGATTTTACATGACAGTTTCAAAATCGGAAGTGAGTGTCGATTAAATAAAGAACTTGAACTAGATGTGTTTGTGATTTCTGGGAATCATACAATCAATGAAGCTCTCAGGAAAGAAAAAAAAATGTCAGTTTGGGGATAGTGATTCTACTTCCAAAGAAAGAAGTGTATCAGCTACTAGATGTACAGGAATCAGG